GAAGACCCGCTGCCCTGTGTTAGCACCTTTGGAAGGTGCTGTGCATGCACATGGGCTCCCTGAGTCACTTGGGGTTGAGGACAGGTTCTCTTCTGGAATATTTTCTACAATAAACTCTACAATGTTTTAGAAGCGAATGAAGAACGGAGTGTATAAAGTGAACATGTTCCACTCTGCACTCTGTGCGTGTGCGTGTGAGTGTGCATGCATGCATTTGTATGCACACCCCTGGGGACCACACAACATTGTGGGTTGATATTCTTTGGGAGAAACGTGACTTAAAACACAAAAGACAACAAAAGGAACCTGATGCTTAAATGCCTTGTGAGGATCTCCTGATGAGTGGTCAAGGAGCCCCGCCATCATGGTTGGTCCCTGGCCCTCTATGTCTCAGGATCCTCCCTGTGCTGAGCACAAGGATGCTGGGGGACGGGCTCCCAAATCACTGTAGCACAGGGGCGGTGTTCCAGCAAACATGTCATTACTCTGGAAGGAATTTGGTGATGAGAAGAAAACAAACTTAGGAACAAAGTGTCATTTGCTGCACACCCGAGTAGAAAGGCAATCCAGCCACCGCATGGACGCAGAGTTCCCTGCAGACGGGAGAACCTCCCGGAGTGGGGGCCTGATGGGGAGTGGTCTAGAAGGGGAGGCCATATCCCTGCTGGAGACCTGAACCAGGGACAGCCATGTGACCCCGAGGGCCAAGGCAGCAGTGTAGGAAGTTAGGGGTCGCACCTGGGGGTGGACAGAGGCTTACTGTGGCCTGAACATGAGGTCAGGAACAGTGGAGCAGCGTCCTGAGGCTGAGAAGGGAGGTGGCACAATCCTGGGCAGTGTGAGGCTGAGGGGGAAATGGTGAGCGCTGCCGCTCCTGATCTTCCTCCTGGTGCCCTGTACTGTCACTGTGAGTCCTCGTCTCCTGTTCTCTGCTTCTTGCTCTTCCAGGTAGACTGGCTTCAGTGTAAGGGTCACCCGGGAGCTGGAAGTGTCCACTGCCTAGTGGGGTCTCCTGGTCTCCATGGGCTTTTCCTTGCTCTCAGATCTCTCTTGGTGGGGCTGCCCTGCACTTCACCATATGCCATCCCTATGGGACTGGCATCCCCAAGAGACCCACTGCTGGGAACGGCTCCTGAGGGTTTGGTGACACTGATACCTGGGGACTGGATTCTGTCATGGTTTTAGGTTAGGCCTGGACTCATTCTGAGAGCTCAGGGTGGCCCTGCCACCTGCTGTCCTGCACCCTGCTCTGTCAGGGGGGCACATGAGCAGGAGCCTGACCTGTGTGGCCATCTGTTCCGTGTGGCTGGCTCACCCTCGATCTTGCTGGTTGCAATTCAGAAGTTGTTGGCACCTGGTGTGCGGAATCCTCTCATTCCCCAGTGTCCATGGGATTGGTCACAGCTTGTGGGGGCTCCAGTCCCTAATATAACATGATGCGTCGGTGGCTCAGAACCACGTGCCACGTGCACCCTACTGGGCGCTTTACGTCTGCCCAGGTCCCTCGTCATGCCAGGCACGATGTCAGTGCTTCCAGAAGAGCCATGAGCCCAGATATGCAGGGCATAGTGGCAAGAGGAGCCGTCCCTGCCTGTTTTGATCTGCACTGGTTGAGTCTAGAGCAGACCCCGTGGATGCGAGGGCTCCCTCCCTTCCCAGCGGGGGCCATCGTGTGGTCCAGTCAGCTCTGACCAAGACCAGGCAGCATGAGCAGGCTCACTGCTGCTCTCTCTCTCCATGATTCTAAGCCCAGGGTGGCCAGACTTGGAAAATCAAAATCCAAGGTGCTCAGTGACTTTGAATTCCAGCAAAACAACCAGAGTTTGGTACTGAGTTTATGTTTTATGCTAAGTGTGGCCTCTGGAATATTTCTGTTTACTGGGAATCCAATGGCAGCGGGTTCCCAGGGTTCCCCTGGAAGCCCTGGCCCGGCAGTCTTCTGCCTGAGTCCCAGGTGATGCCTCGGAATTCTGGAGCCAGGATGGGTGGGCTGCAGCTCAGATGCGGACTTTTAGCTGTTGTCGTGTTCCTGTGGTCATTCCCGTTGGGTCTACACAGGGGGTAAGGTCCTATGTGCAGATGGCCAGCGACTCAGTTTCTCAGGGAAGAAGTGTGTGCTCAGACATGTCACATGGCTCCTATAAAACCTCTGTGAGGCCTCCAAGCTGCTCAGAGACCTGAACGCGCCACTTTCCTTCAGCTCCGCGTTTACAGCCACGGTTGCAGGATTGCACGTGATCGTGTTTCTTGATGGTTGCTAATTGAGATTAACTGTGTGTAGCTGCCTTTACCACTTGACACTCCACGCGTTTTTATGTGGCATGCAGATGGTGTTCTTGGGTTCTGGCCGCCGCCCCGTGGGAGTCTGCTGCCAGGGACAGTCCCCTCAGCCGTTCCCGCGTGGTGCAGAGTGACGGCTGTTATTTCTGTAGCTTGGTAAAAACCGAGGGAATGAACGAGGGGAGTGGCACTGGGCAGGCAGCATGTGGATGCTCTAAACATGGCGGTCAGATACCAGGCACAAAAAAGGACAGGCCAACTGTAGAACAAAGCTGCAGAGTTAGTGCCCCTCAAATGACATTCACAGTGACCTCTCACTCCTTCCCGCTTTCCTGAATCAAGTCAGAGGACCTGACACTGTTGGCCTGGGACTGTGTCATTAGTAGCAAATCAACTCTGTGTCCTCAGCGTTAGGGTTCGGACCCTCAGCAGGGAAGTTCACGGCCCTGGGGTTTGTGTCTATGTCCACCTGCCTATGATTTCGCCATTTGGCTTTGGCAGTTCCTACACTGAATGGCGAAGTTGGCAGGCAGCAGGTCTAGGTGGTCACGGTGGGAGGGTCAGGTGGGCTTTAACGTGGGGTGCTGTGTGATGGAGAGAGGCCCTTTAGCAATCTCGCCACACAGGGACTCCTTAGTTCCCTGGCTGTTGGATTACATGGAGCCCCTGGGGGATAAAAGGATCAGGGATTCTGATCACAGTAATGCAGCGGGGAGGACAGCAAATACCGTCCTAATGGAAAATGTAATCTGCGCTTGGAAACTTAAAAAACATAATCTATTTGTGGACTCATTCATTCATTCGTTTGCTTATTAAACGTTTATGGAGTGCCTGATGTTTGCCGGGCCCTGTGTTGAGGACGCCCAGCGAGTACCATGGAGAGAAAGGCCCTGTGCCCGTGCCCCTCGCTGTGCGGGGCCCCATGTGTATGGAGTCACCAGCAAGCATTAAGCTCTGACAGGGAAATACGGTTACAGTGGAAGGACCCAGGTGGGGACCAGGACCAGAGACACACAGTCTAGGAACGGGTTCCAGGCAGGGGGAAGTGGGCACAGGAGCATGGCCAGGCCAACGTGGGGCCCCGGAGAAGAGGCAGCCCAAAGCCTCCACCCAGCGCGTGGGTGGGACGTTCACCCTGTCCTCTCCTTTCACTAAAAGCCTGCGGGAAGAGTTCAGTGGGAGTCTCAGGAGTGACTTCCAGAAAGCTGAAGCGTGTCATCCTCCTGAGGCATGAAGCTTCTTACTGTAGCTGTGGTGTTCTGATTTCTGATAGAAATCCATCTTTACTAGGGTTCGGGGTGGTCCAGAATGCCTAGAGCTCAGCAGGGCACAAGCCTTGGTGGTGAAGTCGGGGCTCAGCCGCCCTGGGTTTGGTGGACGTTGGACTGAGATTCCCCTGACGAGCTGGCCACATGGCTTCCAGGCTAGCAGTTAGCTCGGAGGCCCCTGGGCACCCTGCAGTGTCCGAGGTGCCCTGTAGCTTCAGTGTGGGGTCAGGCCTCGTGCCGCTGTCAAACCCAGACAGGCCAAAGGGGTCTATGACTTGCCCACAGCTGTGTGCAAAGCTGGGCACAGGCCCCACTCCGAGTTCTCTGCTGTCCCCTGCTGCAGACTTGGGGTGTCTCCCTTGGCAGAGCGTGTCCCCAAGGACCTCTGAGACAGGCGACATGGAGACCTCGGGCTGTGGTAGCTGTGGTGCAGGTTGGCCAGGGGCAAGTTGGCACCTCCAGTGTGTGGCTGGCGGAGTTTCGCCTAGACATAAGCTTGGCAGAGCCAGTGATTTCCATTTCAAAAACTCGCTAAATCCGTTCTTTGTATATTATGTAATTTCTGTGTTTTTCTTACAGAATGTAAAGCAAACTATAAAAAATGGCATTTGGGATTTTTTTTTTTTTCTCATGGGGAAGGGATATGCTCAGTGAGACAAAAAGAAAGAAGGGTTTTGTTCATTGATGGCAGGTGGTCTCCATGGGTTGTGGACCTCCTGGGAGGGAGACGCTGTCCCTTGGACGGCTCTGGTGTCCCGGTTGGCCCGAGGGCGTGGAGCGGGTGAGGTCAGGCATCTCATCTGCTTCTGAGCGCTCCTTCCAAAGCACCTCCCGCATTCTGCATTCCTCAGCTTCACCCAAGGACAGGACAGTGCCAGGGGGTAGTGATTGCCTCCATGCTAATTTATTTTCACCCTGGTCCTTCACCATTCCCCTTTACACGGTGTCCTTCATGCGGCCCGTGTAAATGGTGGACATGAAGTGTCATCCGTGGGTAATGGACGTGGCCTTCACCTGCCGTGGGAAACTTATTCCTGCTTCCATCTCGGCCATCTGGTGGTGCCACGGGGAGGGCTCTCTGCTGGCGATGTCACTGCCTTCCCGACCCTTGCCTATCCACCCTTGTAACAAGAAGAGAGCAGGTTGCAGACCTGACCTCCTCGAGGCACCGTGACCCCCAGTTGAAATTTAAGAAGATCCTTTTGTTTGAACCTTGGTCAGCAGCAAGCTCAGCTCCCGCGGGTGGCAAATGGCTGTGGTTTTCCCGCTCACAGTAGAGACCTTTATTCCTTCTAACATGAATATGTAGGCGCCGTTCGTATTGAGTAGCAAGTGGATAAGAAACGCTGGGTGAATAAGTTGGCATAGACACAGGGCGGCCAGCTCTGGCGGGGGTGTGCAGGTCTGTAGGACGGGGGTGACTAACCCTAGGCTCCGGTTCCCTTCCAACAGTGACGGAAGGCCGAGGGATCCTGGAGAGCACCCAGAGGTTCTCGCTGCTGCCCACCTATCTGCCCGTGACCTACCACATCCACCACGCGGACGTCTCCTTCTTCCTGAAGGAGGCCAACCAGGACATCATGCGCAACTCCAGCCTGCAGTCCCGGGTGGAGTCCTTCCTCGTCTACAAGTCCAAGGGGCTGCCGGTGCTCAACGCCAGCTACGGGCCCTTCTCCATGGAGCAGGTGGTGCCCCAGGACCTGCTGCTGCCCTCCAACCCCTTCGGGTTCACCAGCAAGTTCTCCCTTAACTGGAAACTGAAGTCCTTCATCCTGCGGGACAAGATCTACCTGAGCCGGCCCAAGGTGCAAATCCTCTTCTACATCGTGGGCAGAGACTGGGACGACCACCGGGCGGCGGAGAGGCTGCCCTGCCTGCGGGTCTTCGCTTTCAGGGAGACCCGGGAGGTGAGGGGCAGCTGCCAGCTGGGCGGGGACCTGGGGCTGTGTGTGGCAGAGCTGGAGCTCCCGGCCAGCTGGTTCAGCCCCCCGACAGTGGTGGGGAGGCGGAAGCCCGCAGAGCAGCCCGAGGGGAGTCCTGTGGAGCTCTACTACACTGTGCAGCCTGGGGGCGAGCGAGGGGACTGCACCCGAGAGGATTCCAGAAACAGCAATGGCGCTCGGACTGGCCACAATGACATGGACGAGTCTGCGCCCCCCTTGCACAGGATTGGGAGTGTCTTCCTCTACCAGACCCACAGCTCCCCGGCCCTGAGGGAGCTGCGTTTGGACAGCAATGTGGCCGTTCACTATGTCCCAACCACGGTTCGACAAGGAGCCGTACTGACTTTCCCCATCTCCATTTCCAGAAACTCCACCGAGGACCGCTTCACGCTGAGGTAAGCCGGGTAGCCGCGTCCTCCGCCCAGTGCGGAGGTGGACACTGCTTTGGGGAGTCTGAACAGTGTGTGTCTAAAGCGTAGCCCGTCTGCAGGTCTGTGCACACTGTGTCCTGCTGGTAAAGCAGAGGCTGGTTTGATCTTTCTGGGTTGGCAATTGGGCTGTGAAAATCCAGAGTACAGCTTTCCCCGGCCACCCCCAGGCAGCCAGGGGATGCTGGTGTGAGGCCCTGGCCTCCCCCTGAGGGTCCATCCACGAGCCAGCAGCCACCTCACCGTTGGGTAGCTGAATGCCTCTGTTGAAATGAGGCCGCAGTGTAGTCGGAGAGGGTTGAGAAGACTGTGCTGCCAGCTCAGTCTATTCCCAAAGCCGAGTTCTAAGTATACCGTGGCTTCAACCTCAAGGCTGTCATTTCATCTTTCCCTGGAAATAGAGCTCAGTGTTCAAGAACTAAGAGGGCATGGCAAGGGGAGGAGGCACGGGGGGATTTTTGGCATATCTTATGTGCATTGATACCCAGGATGAGGCTCTGAGCCTGGGCACCGTGGGCTTTAGAAAGCACCCTCCATCTCTCTCTCTGGACTGTGCTGCTTGCCGTGGATGGATTCCATTTCCATTAAAGAGTGTGGTTTTAAGTGTGTCTATGCTTGGCCAGAACAGCTATTTAGAGTGAGCGTCGGCCGCCTAAAGCCTCCGAACATTGCTGCAAAGCGCAGTGACCTGACCTGCCGAGCAGCGCCATAAAGTGTGTGTTACGAACCCTGAAAATAGGAGCGCGGCTGCCTCCGAGACACATTTTATATGTGAGTTTTAAAAGTTCATCCAACATGGATCTATTTTCTCATCCCCCTCCATCTGGGCTGTGGAGTGGCTTCTTTCTTTATGTTCTGTTCAGTGGTGGGTGAGTTTAAGGAAACGAATCGCCACTTCTTCCTGCTCGTATCCTGCATGTTGAAGTGCAGTGGACTGTGATCTAGTATCAGGAACTGCTTTTTGATTTTAACTGCAGGGACAGCCCCTGAAGAGCATTAGTATAATGACTGCATGTGGCTCAGCCTGGGAGGTAAGACCTCTGGCTCAGGCTGACCTGCATGTGGGGACTGGCCACAAGGACTTAGGGGGTGTGAGGACCTCTGGGGGGCTGAGGATTCTTTGGGGATTCCTCTGTCCCTCTTTGGAGATGGAGTTGCAGCTGGTCACAGGCCCTGCCCTGGGCTGCTGGCTAGGTGTTTTGCTTTCCCAAGTTCAAGTGTAGCTTGATGATCTTTGCAGAACTGCTGGTCTAGAGAGAAGTATAATAAAAAACCAAATGCTTTGTATAAAGGGAGCCCTGTCTTCCTCCATTCTGCTGCCCCTTCTGTCCTTCATGCTGGTTGTTGGGTCTAGGGGTGGCCTGCAGCCTGGAAGCTTTGGATTTCAGGAGCTGCAGTCCTCCTCCAGGCTCTGTAGGAAATAGTTGTAAGTATACCTCTGCATTCACAGAGAGCTCTGTGTCCCAGCTTACTTAAGCACAGTAAACACGTCCCCTGGAGCCCAGAGGCTGCTTTGCCTTGGCAATCTAACAAAACCAAGAGAAATTCACTTTGCAGGGCCACCATCTAGGGGACCTGCACCTTTGCAATTTCAGAAACAAAGACATTTGAAGCTTCAGGGGCCCCACGTAGAGGTCACAGTTGCACAGTTCTGACTGTGGAGCCAAAGTGTGGTGGTTCAGAGCCCAGGACTGTGGATGCATGGCAATGAGTCAGTTTCCAGATGACAGACAAGTACTTCCCGAGGTGTGTTTAACTTGGTAAAAGGGTACCCTGTCTCCCACAGCACCTGCTGATATTAAGATGCTCTAATTGTGAATGAATCTTCTCTATGGAACAGCAAGAGGTGAATTTGGACTTGGCAATGCTATTAGCCTTTAGTTTGAATTCCAAAATTAGAAAAGGATACACCACCTATCTTTTTAGATGAAGTCAGTTTGGCACTCATTTAGCATAGCTTTCCAATGTTTAGATCTAGTCATATCCCCTCCCCTGGCCCTCGGCTACAAACCACCCTGCGGGATCCCACTGAGTTTTCCCAACTGTTTTTTTTTTGTGGAATTTTGCAACCTGTGTATCCAGGTGTCTGTGTGGATGATGGAACTGACAAGGTTCAGAGGGAGCTTTGTTAGGTCAAGTATCAGTAGGAACATCCTTTGCCACTGGAGGATGGCTGAGTAGAGAGGGGACCAAGTCGACTGCCACCCGCTAGAGGGGACCCGTCCACATTTCTGAATGTAGGGCTGATGGTGTGCGTGCACTTTGGACTCTGTTGACGATGACTGGCCATCTCTGCACAGCTCCCTAGCTGTTTGTGTGGCTGTGGTCTCAGGGGGGATGCATGACTGGCA